CTATCTCGTCTATGACCAAGTTCGCTCTGTCTATCCACCGATGTGGACGAAGTATTAGGTATTATAACAGAGTTGAAGGATGTTTTTTCGGTAGGATGGGACAATTTATTGCTCATACTGTTATTAAGAGCTTTAAAGATCTACTAGCTTTTTTTCAACTGTGCTTACATACAGGAGTTTTTCCTAAATTACTTAAAAAAGCGGTAGTTATACCTATATTTAAATCTGGAGATAAACATAAAATTATTAATTATAGACCCATCTTAATATCAACAGGTTTGTCCAAAATCCTAGAATAAATTAAAAATAGGAGACTAATAAAATACCTTGAAGGTATTTACTATGACAAAATCAATACGGTTTTAGACCTGAAAGATCTACTAACCAAGCAGTTCATCAATTGACAAATTATATAACTAATAATTTAGACAAGGGTATGTGCTCTATCGGGATCTTTTAGATAGTGCCAAAGTTTTCGATACTATCTCCTGTTCTATCCTATTGCAGAACCTAGAAAAACTTGGAATAAGGGAAACACAACTTCAGCTATTTACTGATTATCTTAGTGACGCTATCAATCCGTCGAAATCGGTCAGTGTGCGAGTTCTCAGGTAAAAAATAACGGCTATGGCGTTCCGCAAGGTAGCATATTAGGACCAACGTCGTTCCTCATTTATATTAATGACCTACGTAGCCTAAAACTAGTAAATAGTGCCATACTGTCATACGCTGACCATATAGTTCTATTATTCTCAGCTAAGTCACCAGTTGAAGTATATGAATATGCACAGAATGGCTTTAATGAGAATGGAATATTATACAATATTCGCTTCATAAAAATCTACTGACCTTAAATGCGGAGAAAACAAAATATATTTCACCCAACCTAAATATTTATGCACATAACTGTCCACCTGCTAACATTGCATGCACTTGCCCTGCTTTAAATAAAACTGATTTTATGGAATATTTAGGTATTGACACAAATTTAAATTTTCGCAAACACAGAGTTTTTATGCATGAGCGTACGCAAACTCCAACACATTTTTAAAAACTTACGCAGTATTGCAGATTATTATGTAATAAAACAGACCTATTTGGCGTCGTGTTAGTCGATACTAACATATTGCATAACTTCATGGGGTGGCGCTGCTAAGACCATTTTATTCCCACTTGAACGTGCTCAAAGAGCAATACTAAAAGTGGCCACCTGTCGCCCATTTAGGTTCCCTACTCATCAACTTTATCTGGAATGCAAAGTATTAACAGTTTGACAGTTTTTTATATTGCACATCATACTTAAACAACACGCGGAACTACCATTTAATCCTATGTTCTTAGACAAGAGAAGGAACGACATTGTATGTGTCAAACCCCAAACAACGCATACGTACATTAACAAATTTTATTCCTTCTTAGCACCATATCTATTTACTAAGATAAATAAAGTATTGAAAATGTATACCGTATCGTATACAAAGTGTCAAACTCTAGTAGGAGAATATTTAGGTAAGCTTAATTACGCAGACACAGAAAACATCGTTGCAATTTTAAAATGATATAATTTTAACTATAATTAGGTTATTAAAACACTAAATATATGTTTGTGTATACAAACCAGTCTGATGTGCATCTTTGGTGCGCAGGGTGCGGGCTAGCCTTTTTGCGTAGTAGTGTGAAAGCAGACCACTCACGCCTCTGCGAACATCCCGGATGCACTACGGAAGCGGGGTAGCCCCAACAGCACCCTAAACGAATTGTTGTATTGGATACGGAGGGAGTTGTATGCTTTTCGAGTATATGTGGCCCACGGGCTGCACGTATAGAAAGACGTGCAGTAGGCTCTGAAGAGTGTGATATTACCATTATTCAGTTCCTTTTCCAGATCCTCATCGTCTTTGAGGCTGGGAGTTAAAATATGTCCTAGATATCCAAACTTAAATACTCTTTTTAATGGTTGCATATTTAAATGTGTCTGTGGCATATCCTTAGGGCCTCTACCCCCAGCCTAAAAAACATGACATCGCTTTTCTTAACATTGTACGCCAGGCCATGTCTTTCGACGTTCTTCTCACATATATGAACAAGCCTTCGCAGGCCACATGACGACGCGCTTAGCAGCACCATGTCGTCTACGTAGCTCACATTATTTAGACAAATGTCATCAATATCAGCTCGTTAACGTACAGGTTGAAAAGCGTTGGTGAGGTCGAGCCCCCTTGTCTCACCCTGCATTCAAACCCATAGCGATGCTATATGTATGCTATAAAGTACCTGTCATGCGAACATTATTAATTTTATTATCATACCAGTATTTTAGAGTGTTTATTATTGGAGTTGGTAATACACATTTTTCTAACTTCTTCCATAAGATGTCGTAAGAAACCAAGTCAAATGCCTATATAATGATAGTGATATATGATAGTTTTATGTTAGTTTTAGTAACAAACCTTATTTAAGAATGTAATGACAATAAGATGTAAATCATATAAATATGTAACCAATACCTTATTCTGATTCTTAATTATTATTTTTTATAATGTGTGCTTCTGTAAATCAATCTGACTTAAATATCTGTTATTACATACCTTTGCGTTACCTGGGGTTTCTACCAGGTTGCACTGACCTTGATAACAGGTGAAATGAGAAATACTACCTGGTGTTAGTATTCGCTAGTTAGGGTTCGCGCCGGTGGTGCTCTTTGTGGGGTTCGATCCGGTACCGATCGAGCCAATTGCAAGTCCAAAGCCTTATCGATTTTTCCACTACAAGTCTTTGAATATATATATTTTTAGAAAAGTTATTTACCGTTATTAAGAAATGTATTGTGCGTACAAGTAAATGTTAAAAGAAATATTGTACTTTATCATAAGTTTTTCTAAATCATTTAATCAGCCACATTGAATAAAGTGCAAAAAAAAACTTACGCAATATAACGTAAGTTGAATAATTCTCGTGCTTAATAAAACGAATAATGATAGAACATAACAGTAACTACATAAATTGTAACCAGGATTAAAATGTTGATTAATACTTTGAATCAATTTTAATATTGTACAAGAAAAATATATATCTACTATAAGAAATATTTGATGATTGATGTCAGCGTGAATAATATCTTCCGCTGTTATGCATGGTACTGAGTATTTTGTATTTCAGGGTGTATATTTGAATTATCAGAATTCAACAGTGAAAGTGTAAAAATTCTAGGAGAAATGCTCCGCAAACTATTACATAATGGCGTCATAGTAGCCATAGTAGTATTAAGGTGTAATGTAGTTCTTTAGAATTGTTTTTACTCTTTTAAGTAGAACGAGTGTAATCTAATAATAGTTTATTGATGTAGACATTTTAACAAATTATTTTTTTCTTGCATTGGAAATGTATAATTCTAATGTATTACACAAAGACAAAGATAAAAATATTATCGTCGATGATTTTAAGAGTAATTAACTGTTTGAGTTTGTTTGTCCTATAAGGCTCAACCCCTTGGAAACGGGCGGTTGCAGATCGGCACAGGTATAGAATAGATTTTCAATAGGTATATTTATTATTATATTTATTTGATATATTTATATTTATATTATATTTATAATATTTGACAAAACAGAGATTGTTGCTGTTTTCTGTGTTGATCTATGAAGTTAGAGTCTACATAAAAGACGATTTCAAAACAATTTTTTCTTATGAAATAAAGATATTTTGTGTTTGAGTTGTACCTAAGTAATGTAATGTAAATGTAGTGACAAAACACGCCTTTTTAAGTAGCCCTAGCCTTTGGGTCTGGCTAAGGGCCAAAAAGTAAAAAAAGTTTGGGTTGTTAAATGATGTTATTGCTGTGAATTGCAGAAGAGTCCAATTAGGCTAGAAGTCGACTATACTACAGCTGATACTAAGTCTATATACTCCTTATCGTATGTCTTTAACAAAATGTGGTTTTAGATAAACTTTCAAATGTGAGTACTATTTGCGTATTGATAAAATTGAAAATCTTTTACTCTCTCGGCTCGATTGAATACCATTACAGTACCAGGGAGATTTGACATCAGGCAGAGAGTTGGGTTACAAAAGGAATCAGCATGTGCATTGCGACGACCTCATTTAAATTGAAATAAAGTTGCGACATAGGTCAGAAGATGACGATGACTTTTAATGGTTTGAACTTTTTAAAGTCTTTCTGTATAAAAAATGCTGCCAGGATACTGCGGACTGAGCAACCGTTTAATGATTTGTGGATTTTTAATTTAATTAATGGACACATTACAAATTATAATATTATTTAATATTAAATCTAATTAATATTATGAACAACACACTTTTTTAAACGCTATCCTACCATGTCTTTTTTTTCATTCCATTTACAACTGGAACAAGTTTTTAATACACTTCCAGTCTTCAGAATTCGAGGCCATCATTAATTCATTACACTGGTAAATTTATCTAATTCCTCCACAGCTACGTTACCAGACATATCACCAATTGTAAAACACTTTATAATAACTTATTTACGACGCCACAGTAGCATGATTCATAGATATTTTTATTTAAATAATATAAATGGCTTATTATATTATTTACTTATAGAATATACGAACTAAATAATTTTCTTATTTTAACCTTGGCACTCGTATCTATATCACAGATCTTTGACTATAGCCGTCATTCTTATGAACGTACGTACACTTTCATTGTAGGTCAGCACCTCTTACCCTCGATTTTAAATGGTTTTGGAAAATTTGAATATTTTAGACCGTTGAAAAGAGATTTGAGAATTGATACAAATTGATAATTGATCTAGAGCTAAGATCAAGGTTTGTTCTTGCCCATAATTGTATAGTTTGTAATTGCAACAGTCTAAGCTGCTCACATATTCCGATATTTAAAATCAAAAAGTAAAATACCTACATGTCGATAAAACGATACTTTCAATGTTTCCCTATATGGAACGCGTATTTCTAATAAATTGACATTGATCCCACATTACTCGTACAATTATCCAACTACAAGTTATCGTGCCCACTTTCATGTTTGTAGTCGCACAGATAACTCTTAAAACTGTCTTGTGCTTGGATGGCGTCTTTGTCAAAAATTTTAGTAATTGTTTCCCTGAAGAAACCTTTGGGTTGGATAAGACATTCCATTTTTGTCTCTATTGAAAGTTTTCTTTGTTTATTTTCATTTAAGAGGCGGGGAAAGTCTAAAGAGAAACTTTGTCGTAACATCCTTTGCTTCTGTAAGCTTTGTTGCTCGTTTTCTATTTTGGAATTGTGTCTATTAGGTTGATCTGTACAATGTTCTTCAAAACCTTCATTTCCAAAGGTTTTGCTTGCATCCGCTTCAATATCTTCACACTCTGGTATTTTGCTAAATAGCAATCTTTCAGAATCCATAAAAGTAAGTACTGGTGATCTCTCATTGCTCATTTTACAAGATTCTCCAAAAAACTCATTTTTTCGGTTATTGCTATTATTGCTGCTATCTTCGTCATAAACGGTATCACCAGACCGTTCCACATCAGAGTGCTTGTTTTCGGGAATGGTGCAAAGTTCGTTATCCCTTGTGAATGTTCGATGGTACTCGTTGTATGTGGCTTCGGATAAATCGTCATTAAATATATTTTTTTTATCCTTCGGAGTTTTTTGTATGCTGGATAAATTAGTTTCTGAAATAATTCGTGTAGTATTATTATTGGCGCTGGATAATTTATTAACTGGTGACATCCGATTATTTGGGTAATCTCTTTCAGTCCTGGATGTTTGACCTTTTGTATGAATACCGAATATTCGTTTCATTGAGTTTCGAAACTGCAATAATATATAAATTACATTAATAACATTTAATTGTTTACTACAATTAAGTTCTTGATTTATGTTTCGATACTCACTTGGGTATTCATTCCTACATAAATAAGAGGATCATAGCAAATTGAGCTCTTCGCAACTAGCGCTGGAATAACACCAGCTCCTGGAGATATCTGCAATAAAATCATAGTTTAAGAACATATGAATATTTTGAATGCCTAAAATGTTCTCTCCTAGTAATTAATCATTTAAGTTTTGGGAAATTAGTGGTTGGTTGAGAGTCTACCAATAGTAATCTTTTTGGTAATTTTCATCTGAATGTCTAGTGGTTGGCGATCCTGATTCAATTCCCACCCAGTATAAATATTGTATGATAAGAACCATCATTTGTTCTTTGTCTGGGTATAATTCAAAGTAAACCAATTGTGATAAAGGCGTATTCAATTTCGAGTTTGATAAGCTTCTGTCTACCATTTCGGGGATGAACGGGGATAAAGTCGTGAAATATTTTCTTTTTTTTTTAATATAACTCCCGCATTAAGAATTTATTATATCCTATGTCGCGGGGGCCTAACTAACTTTACATACATGAACCGGACACAAAAACACCCAGAATCAGAAAAACAATTTGTGGATCACAGAAAGTGGTGACCCATGTGGGGATCGAATCCACAACACTCAACGCAATAAGAAGCGGCGTGGCGACCGCTTAAACCACTACGCCATCCGTACAGTCGGGTGTACGCGTCTGTATGATGCAATAGTATCAATATTGCTGGTTTCAATCTTAACCAAATATTATTTATGTCTAAATTCTGACTTACTGTCGCTATTAAAGTCAAATACGAGTTATAAACGCTGACATTTTCAGAACACGCAAACGTTCCTAGTGGCTTTTAGACACATGAAATTCATATGAGCTGTCTGTGGTTTGGATTGACTTAAAGAGCAACACTAATCGTTATCATTTGTTGTGTGTAAATATATGAGACTTAGAACGGTGTATTCTCATTACGTATTCTATTCTAAATTGACTGAGAATATGAAATATTTTATTGCTGAAGACTGCTAAATTAAATACCTTATCAAGGACTATTATTATGAGATGAGAATATTAAATTAAATTTAATTGAATCACAACGGTACGAAATTACTGTTGTTGTTCTGTAACGATATGTCTTCAGCCGAATAGTAAAAAAATTACGAGTACCTCACACACGGCCGTCTGATCCCAAAGTAGGCAGAGCCTATGCTGTGGTAACCAGTCTGCTGATAAATATACTCATATATTTCTAAATAAATACATATTATAGATAAATTACACCCAGACACAGAACAAATGACCGTGCTCATCATACAATATTTGTCATGGGTGGGAATAGAACCCACGACCTTCGGCTTAGCAGACAGGGTCACTAACCATTACATCTACAGTATATCGCGCATATACCGCCCGTATATCGATACATATGTATATAGGAATGGTTACACTTATCCACTTAATGGGTTACACTTACAAGCACAAATCTACTTACAATTCTCTCTGTGGCGAACTGTTCTATTAGCGCAAATAGAGAGTAGGGGGTCCACGAAATGGTGAAGGCTAGGATCATTACGAATACCATGGCTGTGGCTTTCGTCTCTGCTCGAGATACGCGGCCCAGTCGTTGTGAGTTCTGAAATCAATACATCATAATGAAAACAAATGAAATGACACAATTTCCAATTCCTGAATACACTAATATTTGATGATAATTGGTTAATACAATTAATAACATACTCCATTTTGAACTCGTGATATGAAATTATAAATTGGATAGGAAATCATATTTACGGCTTTGTTTCAGAGTATTTAAAACAGAATTTAAACCTCTTAAAATGTTATACGGTATACGGTAGTCATTATAGCTGCCAAGCTCGAACTCATCTTTGCAGAATTTAATGACGAACTGAATTAACAAATAGTTCAACTTCTGGTTTCACCGTCACGACATCCCTACCTAATCTGTTGGACACAGCAAAAGAAATAATATGAGTCTAAACTCGAAAGGTTTTCTTGTAGCCATTGAAATGTTTTCATTTGGATCTGATATGTCCAAGTTGTCAACTGACAATTTTTATTCTTATCCGAAGAAAGAAGAAAGAAAGAAAACATATTTAATTTCTTAAACACATATCAAAATTTTCTATTAAAATAAATTAAAATATCGATGGCAACCCTGTGCTAAAAATATACAGTTTCAAATGTGCCAGCCATGTCACATGTCAAGTACAATGAGGTAACACTGGCTACGTGGCATTCACCTCGGCGGCACAGCCACACTGGCACTCACGTGTCAAATGTATGACGTGGTAACAGATCGTTTTTTTTACTACATACACAAAGTTTCATTTCTATACGACTATCAGAGGTAGGTTACAATAAGCTTCTAAGAGCTTCCAATCTCTTTTGATTAGCAGACAAGTATTATCATCACCAGAGGCAAAAAATTGTCATTGAATTTTTTTTTATTAAAAGAGTAACAAAATTAAAAATATTCGAGGCCAAAATATCGGAGGTTGACAAGGTTTTTAAATACATACATACATTCAAAACTATATTAACTCGAATGGCAGAATTACAAACACCGGGTAAAAAATGTATTCCCTATAATTTGGTCCCGCTTAATGAGGATAAGTTAATTTATGCCACCTGGACTAGTGTTCCCGAGAACCTTGGTTGGAGTTTTTTTTAAATAATTAATGAAACGTAATTAAGGGGCTTGATAAGCTAAAAGCCTATGAAGACGTTAGTACTTTAGGCTAGGTCTATTCAAGACTCTTGGTTTTAGGTCCAAAGTCTTGCAAAGGCCTAAGCTTCTCTAAGGCTAGTCTAACAACAGTAACGCTTTTTAACCCTCTATAAAGGCTATGAAGCGTTTAGTCGAGGCTCTTTGTTCGATGTCTCTTAAATATTCTCGATTTTAAGCAAATGATTTACTTTTCAGTGGATGGTCCTTCCTTTGCGTTTTAATAATTTTCAAATTGATTCATTTTTATGAGTTTCATTTTAAAATGTAACAAAATAGAAACTGAACCGTGTCTATAGGTATTTGAAGTTTAATAAACTGAAAAGTTCTACGTTAAAACCAAAAGTACATTGGTTGAGTCAAACAAGCGCGAAAGTATGGCATTTGATGTTTTATGCATATCTGATACAAAAATTCCCATTGAACAATCGTTTTCCGAAGCAGGCAATTTGATCAATAGAAACGGAAATCGTCCGTCTAATAAAAACATTAGACCTTAAATGTTTTCGCGATACTTAGGTAAAAATGTATTTTTCTTTTCTTTTTCTTAAAATAAATGCAATAGAAAATAAATGTTATTTTCATATGATGGCTTACCTAGATTGAGTCTCAAAAAGGCCTTCAGCCCTAATATAAGCCTGGTGTTCAAAAAAGATTCCAGTCGCAAAAAAAAGCCTAAAGGTTTTTATGTGTTCATAGGCTTTTTCAATTGAAGAGTCCTTGAAGCCCTTTTTATTAGCATAGCTCTAAAAATAGGCTTAAATTTAGGGCCTTCGGTCCTCGGGAACACTAACCTGGGCCCTTTTGGCGCAATAAGATAATAATTATATAAATATATTCCAAGAATTAGAGTGCAATAAATCAAATTGACTGTTCCTGTAATAGGAAGGTCAAACCGTCTAACAATTTTAAAATATTTATTAAATAACAATTGAAGATTAAATAACAATTGAAGACTAAAGAAATATACGTATGTATGTATGTAAACGACAACTTCTAACATTCTGAAGGTAATTGTGTTGTACTATTACTTTTACCTTAGTCTCTTTGAATTGTAGTTCTTTTGAGAAATACATTTTTATAAACCGAAGACAAATGTACGAAAAAAAATGGCGGCAATAGGCTTGCTTATTACCTTTGTGGGACTAAACATAGTCATTAAAATAAGAGCGTTAAATTCGCCTCTGAGGCCCAAGTTCGAGTTTATTTCACATCTACTCGACCGTCGCAGCGCCGAACGCGGTCACTGTGACGTATCGGCCTCAATGCAAAGCTCAATCAAGCGCAGCGAGTAGCGGCCATTCGTCTCGTATGGGGATACCGCACATTTTCGTCGGAGGCGGCGACCGTCCTGGCACGTTTCCCTTCTTATATGTGCCGAACTGCACGCGAGGGTCTATTACCAGACGCGCGTCATCTGCGGGGTTAGAGCGAGAAAGACCAGGACGAGCTCGAAATGCGATTGAGCCGATAAGCGGGAGAAGCCCGCATCTTCCCCGGGATAGGGTTTTACTAGGCGCGGCGTCGATCCGGGGGACCTGAAATAACATGGTCCGGGTGTTCCTTGGTACTCCAGGGGCGCCTGAGTCCAGCCGTTGGGGTGGTAGGCCCTCTGTTCACCCCTCCGGACATTAAGACGTATGTGTAAATTAAAAATGGTAATATTATGCGTGTGACTTTTTGCAATATTTTAGAACCTCGTTAGGTTCTAAAATATTGGTTTCAAATATATTATTTTAATACAGAGTTTATACAATTTATAATTATTAATATAGTCCGTCAAATTTTATTGTTCCTTAAGTGCTCTCAACTCGACCCAATCATGAAGAGCCATCAAGCCAATCTTTATTATAAAACAGATTTAGAAAGACTTTGAATTGTATTCATTCATTAATTATATTGTTTTCATTGTATTAATTCTTTGCAGGTATCATTATGAGAGTTTGAAAGATTTATCCAAAAACTGCTTAGATTTAATTTAATATTACTGCCAAAATTTGATTTTGAATAATAATTAAATTATTAGATGGAACTCGAAATTTATAGAGGTGATTTTGAATTCTAACTACGCCAGCTACCTATTACATCTAACAAGGAAATTGCCTTGAGATATTCATTTACAATTTATATCAAAATTTACTGTAAAGGAAGATAATTAATTAGACTTTTAAGACAATCCTATAAATTGTGCGGTAATTACCCGCCAAACCAAAATAATCATTACAGAGCTGTGAGACTTTCTAAAGAAAGAATGGTAAAAATGGCTTTTGGTAAAAGAAACGACTCTAAGTTGCAAGTAGGGCGATCTTTTGTTAAATTACTTCATATAATTACTTTCTTTACACCACTATTACTCCAAATGTAATTATTTTTAAATGAAATAAATTTATATTTTTTTTATTATAAAAAGTTTACAAAGTTAAAAGTTATATTTAATTAAATTAATAATAAATAAATACTTTACATAAATGTATTTGTATATACAAAATTGTTACTAACTTAATGGGATGGGCATATTTTTGAAGTTTGTTCTTACTGATTTCATTATTATTTTCAAATAAAGTAACGGCACATTTCTTTTTCTGATCGGTACGATGTATTTCATAAGGACGTCAATTATTTTTTGCCGATAAATACTTGAAACAGGGACGCAACATGTGACTTGGATAAAATGCTTTAATGCTATTACTCTTAGGTTGCGTAACTTGAAGGCTCCGCCATCATTTAAAAAATCAAAGGCTTGGGATCATCAACGACCTTTAATAGCCCACTGCTGGACACAGGTCAGTGAATCAGTCAGTCAAGGGAAGTAATTTTAAATGTATAGACTATATTTTATATTACATATATATTATATTTTATGTGCATCATCATCATCATCATCATCAGCCTATCGCAGTCCACTGCTGGACATAGGCCTCTCCCATTGCACGCCACTTAGATCGATTTTGCGCTTCTCGCATCCAGCTCCTGCCAGCCATCTTGCGCAAATCGTCACTCCACCAGGCCTGTGGGCGTCCTACACTACGTTTGCCGAGACGCGGTCTCCACTCAAGAACTCGTTTTCCCCAACGGTTATCGGTTCTGCGGCTAATATGGCCAGCCCACTGCCACTTCAGCTTGCTGATCCGGGACGCTATGTCGTGACCTTAGTTCTCTGCCGGATCACCTCATTTCTGATGCGATTTATTTTATGTGCATTGTAAAACATTTTAATAATAAATTGCACCGTGTAAAGAGAGAGAGAGAGAGAGAAAATAATAATACTGACATCTTTATTTACCGTCTAGTTAGAGTATTTTGTCTACAAATCCCCCACCGTGTTCCATTAAAACTACTTGATTGCAAAACTTTGTTTGATATGAACGAATAGTAGTATATGTAGAAAACTTTCATATAGTTTTAGACCAATTAACTCGCTACATATTAGGTCAGTAAATGGCCCACATTTACTTGTATCGTTATTATATATACGCTACAATACTTTTGGGTTCCTCGACGTTTTGCACAAAACGTACTGATTCAAAAAAAAATAAGCAGGGGCGTAGCTCGGATTTTATTTTAGGGTGGGGACAAAACACGGTTAAAAAAGAGGGGGAAAATCAGAATAATGAATAACTATCTACATTAAGAACATATAAAAAAATATCTGAAGTATATATTTTAGCAAAGCCTACGAGGATGACGACTGAATCTATTTAAAACTTGATTTTCAAAGTCTAAAAAACGGGAAAGAACCTACTAGCCCGTGGCTAGGCCCTTTTTTTAACGTTTAAATAACTTGAGACAACTCAGAAACTGCTGTCAGAAACTAGGCACAGCTTGTATTTCGATCAACAAACTACTGATAAACATACTTATAAAATATATCGGTAAATACATACAGTATACATATAGAACAGGTGATCGTCTTCATCACGTAATGTTTTTCTTGATGGGAATCGGAAAACATTGGGCTCAACAGTCAAGATTCCTAATCAGAAGACCATCAGCCTCGTCAAAGTAATATGAAAAAAAAAAATATAAAGTTTATTTTTAC